TGGGGGAAGAACCTTTCCCTGAGATCCACCCTGAGCCTGCCCTGACACAGCTCCAGCCATTCCCTGGGGGCTGTCCCTGCTCCCCCCAGAGCAGAGCTCAGTCCTGCCCCTCCTCTGCCCCTGCCCAGGCAGTTGGAACTGCAATGAGCTCTCCCCTCAGTCTCCTCTTCTGCAGCTGAACACACCAAGCGCCCTCAGCAGCAGCAGGGCTGGCAGTGGTGGCTCTGACACCCCTCAGGTTGTGTTCTGGAGCCACAGACACACCTGTCTGTATATCCATGCCCACGAGGGCAGCAGCACTGGCTCTGACACCCTCTGTCCCCCCAGCTGACGTCGCCAGGTCCATGGGAGCCAAGGTGGTGATCGCCATCGACGTGGGCAGCCGCGACGAGACCGACCTGACCAACTACGGCGACTGCCTGTCCGGGTGGTGGCTGCTCTGGAAGAGGTGGAACCCACTGGCTGAGAAAGTCAAGGTACTGTGGAAGCTCCCCCTTGTTCCTTCAGGGTGACAGATCATCGTCTCTTTGGGTTTGAGCTCTCCTTCCTGGATGGAGAGAGCTGGGCAGTGACACCAAAGGGTGTGGGAAGGGGTAGAGCCCCAGGCTGGGAGAACTGTGAGAGCAGAGACCTTTCCTTAGAGGTGCATTAGTTATGATAAAGTCAGAATTTATTAATTTTATCAGTAAAAGTAGTAAAATTGTCCAGTTCGGTGTTTCTCTCCTCTATCTCTCTGAACTGCTTATTTTAGCAGTAGGCAGTAATTAAGTACAACTGATAAACGTGGGGCTGCAGAGCATGATTTTATCATTATTATGTATCTCTTGTTGCATGTGGTTAGGCCAACTCTGTGCCTTAGTCTGCACTTCCTACATTACCTGGCTCAGCAGCTTCCCCCAAGGGAATGTTGTTTTCTTCCCTCCCAACTGCATTCCCCAGTTTGAACCAGAACTAAAGTACTTGCTTGTGCTTCCCAAAGTTGGAGAAAGTGCTGCAAACTGTGGCTACTGCTCTGCAACCTGAAGTTTTCCTCTGTGATAACTCACTCCCCTGAGAAGGTTTGACCTCCCTGTTGGAGCTGGGGTGGGTGTGCAGTGCCCTGGGCAGAGGTGACTCTGCTGCTACCAGTGCGTACTGGGAGCGTTTGGTGGGGAAAATGGAAGGCCCTGACCCTTCTCAGTAGAGCTCAGTGAAACATCCCAGCTGCCCAAATGGCAGTCAGCACCCATGGGAGCATGGGATTCCTTCTGAACACCAGGAAACACCATTTTTACTGGTAGTGGTGAAACACTGGCCATCCAGAGAAATTGGGGAGTGTCCATCTGTGGGGGTGGTCAAAACTCAGCTGGGCATGGTCTTGGACACCCTGCCCCAGCTGCTCCTGCCTGAGCAGGAGGGTTGGACTGGATCATCCCTGTTCACCTCAGCCCTTCTGCAAAACATCTGCCCTGCCACTGGAGGGGTCAGAGAGTCATGGAATCACAGAATGGTTTGGGTTGGAAGGGACCTTAAAGATCATCTTGTTCCCCACCCCTGCCATGGGCAGGGACACCTTCCACTAGACCAGGTTGATGCAACCTGCCCTTGGACATTTTCAGGGCTGGGGCATCACTGATTCCTGCCTTGAAGCACCACCGTGCCCCTCTCACCCCAGCACAGATCTCCCTCTCAATACATCTGTATCCTGGAATGAAAGACTCAGTTCAACCTTGAACTGCAGAAAGGTGTCTGAAGGCAATTCCCTTTGTGCTCCTGATAATGGAGACTCACTGTCTGCTGCCCACACTGCCCAGGAAACAGATGGAGGTGCTGATGTGTGAAGGCCTGGGTGTGATAACCCGCTCTCTGTCTCTGCTGGGGACACAGGCTGTGTTCCTCAGTCCCTCATGAGCGGTGTGTGTGCAGGTGCTGAACATGGCCGAGATCCAGACGCGCCTGGCGTACGTGTGCTGCGTCAGGCAGCTGGAGATGGTGAAGAACAGCGACTACTGCGAGTACATCCGGCCCCCCATCGACCGCTACGGCACCCTGGACTTCGGCAAGTTCGACGAGATCTGTGTGAGTGCCCCCCCTGTGTCCCCTGCTCCGCACAGACCTGCTGGCTCCTGCTGCTGATTACTGCCAGGGCTTGGCACAGAGTGAATAATTGACACTAAGTGATGCTGTGGAATGATAGCCCGGCCGGGAGATTGGATTAACAGCAGAAATTGAGTTTGCAGTTCTTGATTCCGTAATGACCCGTGAAGGGATCGGTTGCCTCGCTCTGTTTCGTGGCAATTCCCACTCAGCTGCTCGGGAAAAGCTCTTGGGTGTCTGAGCTTGGGGGGTTTCCCGAGCTGCTCTGGGCTCTTGGGGTTTGTCCCCCCTTGTTGTCGTGTGAAGGATTTGCAGAATTCTGGTGGGGAGGCCACGAACCCCAGAAATGGAGGGAAGTGTGAAAATACCTGGCTCTGTTAAACTTTTCAACACTCCTGCTAATAAAACATCATCCACAATTCCTCTGCACCCCACAGAGGGTCGGGACACGGCACCAGTGTCAGTGGTTGTGGTAAATAAGGTGCTACCGGGCTGGGCAGTGCTGGGATGGGGTTTGTTGAAGTGTCAGAACCCAGGGTGGGCAGAGCTGACTCCAGGTGTGCAGGGAATCGTCTCGGTGACATAATCCAACATCCCCAACAGAAGTGTCCCTGCCCAGGCGGGAGCAGTGATTCTGGCTCAGTGTGGAAGTGATTTTACTGCCTCTTCCCATTCTTTGCCTGCTTTAACCATGCAGGCATCTTCCACCTCCAGGCGTTTCTGCAGAGCTTTGCTCTCCTCCCGGGCTGGAAACCCACCACTTCTTCTTTAAGTCAATCTCCTTTACTGCTTAGTGAGAAGCTGGGATGTTCCTTAGGCTGCAGATTGATTTTTCTGGGTTATAAACACTGATCAAGCCCAGGAACACAGCAGCAGGCTCACATTTGGGAGAGTCCTTAGGACACACAGCAGCTGTTCCAAACCACCAGCTGATTTCCCCACTACAAATATTTTCTCTAGGCTGTTTGGTGTCTCTTGGCTCCTGGGCAAACACTGCTGGCTGCCAATGGCTCTAAGGATTTGCTGATAAATAATGTTCTTTGCGCTGGAGTGCCCTGGCTGATCTGAAAGCCCTGACAGACAGGTCTGGTAGTTCATCACAGGAACAGATCGTGAGCTGTCACATCTCTGTTCTGTCTAATGGGGTGTTGTTAAAGAGATGTAAAGACACCAGGCAAATGTAGTCAGTGGAACAAAACTTGGAAAAGTGCAGTAACTCAAATATGTCACTGTCTGTGAGCCAGTTCTTGGCACCAGACACTGCAGGGATGGAGGGGCAGCACCCTTCTGGCTCCTGGAGATAAATAACTTCTGTCCACAAGGGAACTTTGAACTGTGCTGACCTTAAAGGAAGGGGCAATCCAGGCATTCCTTCTTCCTCATGGTCTGGGAAGTAGGAGGAGTTTTAATTTCAGCTGTTTGCCTGGATTTTACAGGAAACAGAAATGGGCACCATGGTTTGGTTCCAAGGAATTAAATCCCCTCTTCTTGTCAAACCCCTCTCCTGTGTCAGCCCCAAGCTCAGCTCCTCGTGGTTATTTTGGATCAGCCTGACCTGGAGCTGTCAGGTCCTTTTTCTCCTGACTAATCACCCCCACTCTGGGAAGCT